TTTGTGGGTCGATTGTGAAATTGCAAATAGGTTTGACATGCCTGCCCCAACCATCACTCCGGAGTTGAGAAAAGATCTCCAGTTACTACAGGTTTTGTTATCTATTCCAGTAATTTGTTTCTTTTGTATTATTAGTTCCAGACCAGATACAAGAATCAGTCTTGTTTTATCATGTTGTAGCTTGCAAATGTATGGAATTTATTAGCAATTGATGTTGCAAATGAATTTATATGTTATTTCACACAACCATAATAATAATAATATTAGTAATATTTTATTGCAAATATACCAGTATGTAACTTACTGCAATGAATTTGTGGAATCACATGGGCACCTATATAATGCAAATTTGGGTTTAAAGATAATATAGTTAACAGATTTATGTTTACTTATTGGGCAATTAAAATTGTTTCAGAATTCATATGTTTTGTTATTTCTAGTGTTGATTTTTTATGAGGATTGGCTGAATTATTCTTTGGATTCCATATCTAAGGGGTTTAGTTGTTGTCGCAAAGGTGTTCTAGAGCCTAGGTGCAAGCCTTAGTGAAGTAAGGCACTTGTTGTATATATAACATGCAAATAAATCATATAGCATCGAAAATTTGGACTAACGGAACAATACAATCACTTCAAATTTTAAATATATGGTGTATGATGACTAGGTTTGCCACTATTAAGAGTCGGTGAATCAAGAAGATGACGTAATTTATCATGCAAATAATCCTCATTAAATCATAATTTATCATCAAACCATTAAGTATTTTTGCAATTGGAAAAGTACACATTCAGAGAGAGATTAAGTTCTTGCAGCTGGATCATAGTGTTTGCAAACAAACTAATTTTCCATGAAAAAGGCAGAGATGGGGAACAGGGAGAGAAAAGGGGAAGGGAAGGGGATGGGGTAGGTTGAAGAAACTAACCAAGAGAAAGCAACTGTTGAAGACAGAACAGAGGAGAGGAAAAAGAAAAGGAGAAGAGGTAACAACAGTGAGAGAAGGACAAAAATATATCTGTTGGGGAGGGATGATTTTTGTGACCAGAAGAACCAAAAAAAAAAGAAAAGAAGAAGGTATAAACAGAAAGAAAAAAAAAAAAAAAAATTATGTCGTGAAAGGTAAAAAAAAAAGTGCAAACTGCTCTAGCTCTTTTAGTCTCATCTGCTGCCACCTGCAGTCGTGTATCTAAAAGCAAGCTTGAACATATGCATCAATAACCACCTCTTGTAACCGATTCGCTTACCCTTTATCACATACATCACGCTGCTCCTCCTCCTGCTTTTGTCAACTGTTCCTACGATGAAGTTTGCATGTGCCAATTGATCACTGATATTACAGTCGGTTATCGTACTGCATTACCAACCAACACTTCTGTTGTACAATATATCCTCTCAATCTTTTCCATGTGACTGAGAATTAGAAAATGAAAGTACACTGTAAAGATGTACAAGTGAAATTAGTGGCAGTTTAGTGCCTAACCACCCATGCTACTTGTTCTGCTTCCTGGTAACTTCACTGTAAGTTTCTGTCAAGTTTTACATAGCTTTGTAAATGATGTCTTCAGTTACTTAAATCTTCTATAGGATGTCTTTTCTTCAATGGAAATATTTCAAAAAATTTATATTAATATATACATACACACACATATATACATTCTTTAAAGCTTCAACCTGCTTTAGCAAAATTGTTTCAGTAAGTCCCCGACTAAAAATATTTGTTTCAGTTTCAGTGAGACTGAGGCTTGCCTATTGCCTAGTCAACCAACAATTTGGGAATTTAATTTTACTAATTTTGGCACTTAAAAATCTTATTTTGAACACTCCGTCATTCTTCTTGTGTCACATGTCATTTTAACTAATGTGCAAGATCTTTCGTCTGGTTTAAAAATATAATTTAAAAAGACATGTATGCCGACAACCTGAATGGCGGTGGGACCCCCAAGCAGTGGCAATAGCTTTGAGTTGTAATTCAGCATTCACAAAATTGAAAGAATTGAAAATTCTTCCTTCTTTCCTCATTAAAGTGGAGGCTTTAGGTGTATGTCACAGCAATGAAGAGTCGGTCTAAGCACAGGGAACACTTGCTGTTATACTTAATTCTTTCTTACTACTGCTTGAAAAGTTTTCTTTTGTAAACAAGGAATCCTTTCTAATGCAATAATGGGCCATAAAACACCTGAATTGGAAATGAGCTTTATATGTTGCCTAGATTAATGTGCCTTCCTTGATCTAGAAATTGGTATCAGGACCATCATGTTCTTGTTCTCTTATTATGTGCCATTCCATTTTTTGAATGACATCCACTAAACATGTTGCTGGAGTTCTCTAGAATCGGTATTAGATCTCCCTTATCATCACAACTTTAGTAATTATTGTACTATGATTTGTATGCATTAGACATAGAATCATTATTGGGTTTACTAAAAATCACGGTGGAGTGGCCGGTTATGGAATTGATGGTTCATCTGTGTTGGATGGATGCCAATAGATATAGATTGTAACTTTCTTATTTATTTCAATAGATATTGACTGTTTGCATTTATATCTCTTTTGGTTGATACAGTTGAGGAGTGCTATTGATCCAAAGAGGCACTACAAGAAGGGCAATTCTAAATCAAAGACACTTCCCAAGTATTTTCAGGCAAGTTCATGGTTAAAGCTGAATGTTAGTAGAACATGATTGCAACACTAAGGCGCGGATAAAATATATATGATTTGGATGCATTGCTTTGTTTTCACTTTTATTGTTTTTTTTCTTCGTGAAGTGGTAAAAATAATTGGGTATTTGGACAACAATCAGGTCGGAACGGTGATAGAATCAGCATCGGACTTCTTCACAGGCAGACTTACTAAGAAGGAGAGGAAGGCAACCCTTGCTGACGAGCTACTTTCAGATCATTCCCTTGGGGAATACAGGTGATTCAGAATATGTTACTGTTGGGCTTTTGCCCAATGCTGTATATTTTTAGCGTCTGTGGATGGCTTCTAAGATTATAAATATGTTTTAATACACATTTTAGAGAGAATTTATTATTATTATTATTATTATTATTGAAATAGTGACAATAGGTGTAATTCTTAATAATAAAACTCCTACAATTGACTTATTAATAAGCTCTATTTTAGATTGGAGACATTTTTGCCATAAAACCACAGAGGCATTATTAGTTCACTAGTAATTGCCAAGTTCTTGTGCAGCTTATTTCTCCTGTATCAATCTTTTGCAGGAAGCGCAAGGTCCAAGAGATTGAAGAACGAAACCGTCCAGCTGGGGTTGACAAATGGAAAATAAAAGGTCGGCAATCACAGAAGCGTGCAAAGCAAAGAAGGCACTGATAACTAAAAATACTGACCCATAGTATAGTATGCCATTCCCAGCCAAATTTTTCCCCAGGAAGATTAATTTTCTGCAAGACAGACACACAGAAAATCTTTCATAGCATTGGTGTTTATGAGAAGCAAATAACAGCTCATCATCGTTGATTATATTGAAGAAATCTTGCAGGTGGACAGAGATAACAGCTGTCACGACTGCAGTTCTGGCGGTGATTTTCTTGGTATGCTGGTTTGCTATTGTATTTTATACCTGAATGTGACATTATTAGGTCGTTATTAACTTAATATAATTGCTAGAATTGAAATTAATTTTGTGTCAAATATACATCATTTGGCCTTTGTGCAGCATTGTAACAAATTCTGCAATAAGTCAACATCTTCCACAATTAAGATTAGTGATATATATCTGGTTGGAAGAAAAATGAAGGGCAGAGCTTGGGGTGGAAAGGAGGGAGGGCGGATGAAGGGAGACAAAAAGAACTCTCCACTCTCCCTATCTTGTAGAGGGAAGAGGGAGAGGGAGAGGAAAGGAATAAGGAAGAACTCCCTGTACCCATTTGGCAACAAAGTGGGGTCTGAATATTAAAACCATATCACTAAATATCTATCTGCTTCTTTCAGATCATTTCAATTTTTTTTTTTTCCCCTTTACTAATTCCTAATTAACTGAATAGTATAGGAACAGTTTCCTTATTTATGTATACATATTCTTTCTTTTTCTTTTTCTTAATTGGTACTCACATACATATGTCTCCCTTAAGACTCTTAATCTTCTTTTAAAAAATAGTGTTCTGGTACCATTAGAGAACTGACCCGTCAATTCTCTCTCTTCTATTAACTACAAGATTTTAAATTTCTATGAAACATATGTATAGCTTTTCTAGCCCTTATAAATTTGCTTGAGTTTCCTTCTTTTCTCCATGTATAACTCTTCTATCACTCCAAGCTATCCTTCTATTCAAATTGTCATCCTTCTGAACCATAAAGAAAGATGAAGAGGTGTGACAGAAAGACCAATGAAGCAAAAATGGTGTCACTCAAAACCAGGGATAGGCAGAGATCTGGGCTATAGTTAAGGTCCAAAAAAATATATATTTTAGTATTACTGTACATCAATTCACTGCTCGGTTCATATGTAATACTAATCTTTCTCTTAGCCCAATCCATTTTGCAATCTTGGCTCCGCCCTGTTCAAAACTTTAATGAACAAATGTGTTTCTTAAACTCTATTTAAGTGCATTGAAAATCTCTATATCATGCTAGGGATTAAATACAACAGAGGGTCTGGACTCAACCAAGATTTGTGTTCTTGAAACTATCACTAAAGTTAAGTTTGGCTCATAAAGTCAATGAAGTAATTTGAAAATTTTCTTTAATTAGGTGAGCATAAACTGTTCGATAATAATTTGTGAGACACAACGGTTCAAACTGAATACTTTGAAAAATCAGAAAGAAGAACAAATCATCATTTATTTTTCCTCCTATTTTTCTACTTTTAAAAAATCAGAAAAAAGGAGACTTCTCACGTCGCCAAATTGTATAAGTCAATTTCCTCGTGGAAGGAAAAAAAAAAAAAAACACATATGAACATGAAAAATTTGACACCCTTGTTATAAAAGGCGAAGGCCGACAAGGAAGAGGTTGTCATAAAATCACAGAGGAGTCATATATGGCGGGAGAGGGAGAGGTGAAGCTATTGGGGACACGTTCCAGTCCATTTGTTCAGAGGGTGAAATGGGTTCTGAAGCTGAAGGGAATCGATTACGAAGAGATAGAACAAGACCTGATCAAAAAGAGCCCTCTTCTCCTCAACTCCAACCCTGTATACAAGAAAGTACCTGTCCTGCTTCACTTCCACAAACCAATCTCAGAGTCACTGCTCATCATTGAGTACATTGATGAGACTTGGGAACATAACCCTTTATTGCCTAAGGACCCTTATCAAAGAGCCATGGTTAGATTCTGGGCTAAGTTTATTGAAGAAAAGGTATGTCACACGCACACACACTAGGCTCTTATAATGATGATGATGTCCTATATATTTTCTTTGATTAATCTAGTCAGAACAATGGATTTACAGTGTAAATACTAACAAAGAGGATAGATATTGCATGTATCGACAGCTAGTGTGAATAGGTGTTATTTAATGGCCTGGTTGGTAGTTGGTAAAGCGCCTAGTTCCTTGAGCAGCTTATTCGCGTGATGTGATTTGTCAACACATTAATTCTGTTTTTCAAAACATTATTTAAATATGATTGAAACAGATAGATTTAATTGTGTCCAAAACCCTATTTCTTGGTATTGTACATATACACAGCAGAAGATCCAGGCTCATATATATGCAAGATCCTTATCTCTATTTACTGCATAGCAAATTGCATATTATATTTCAATAACATTAATTCTATTGATATTAATAATATTGTAGTTCACTTAATTGATGAGGAGAGTACTATTTCTTGATGAAAAGCAACAAGAAAAGGAAGTGATGCAAGCCAGAGATGCCCTAGAAATCATTGAAGGAGAGCTCGAGGGTAAGAAGTTCTTTGGAGGTAGACACCATTGGGTACTTGGACGTTGTCTTCGGGTGGATTGCTCCATGGCTTGAATTGTTTGAGGAGGTTGCAGGCGTCAAAGTGTTTGACCCTCTGAAGTTCCCCTGTTTGGATACATGGATGGGTTGCTTTTTAGAGTTGCCAGTGATCAAAGAGGGCTTACCACCAAGGGATTTTTTGCTTGTCTGCTTTCAAAATATCCGCCAATTTGTACTAGCTTTATCTGCTCAAAAATGAGAGCTATAAATGAAGGGCTAGTTTGTCACTGCGTTTAATATTGTTGTCTAAATAAACTTTAGCGGGCTTTTTATGATTCTTACCATCTTGCCACTTTATTGAGAATGTAACATTGTAGTATATTTAATTACATCGCTTAAAAATCAAAATTAACAAGGTTTGTAAATTTTTTTTTTTTTTTTTCTTTTGAGTGTGTGTATTGATCACATAACACAGGTATCATTTAAGTTAGGCGTGCGATTCAAAAACGAGACCTTAAAAACTTACCTTACGAATCCCTATCATCGCCGATATGTCCCTGAGGACAACAAGTTATACAACAATAAAAAGAACATTAATATTGTAACACCCGAATTTTTTAAATAAATTTCTCGATTTATTCAAATCAAAATACTTTAATTTACACCCAAGATCTCAAAAGAAAATACCATTTTATTAATACAGAATCAATTTCCTTAAATAAAAATATACAAAATTCTCTAAATAATTAATTTAATCCTCAACACCAACTCTTCCACCTAAGCCCACTACTAGCAATCTAAGTTCATCCTCGGTACCTGAAACTGGAAGGGGGTGAGACAGGGAAGTCCCAGTATAAAAAACCATAGCAAGAATTTCAAGAAATTTCATACAAAATTAACTTCACAAAAATATACATATATATTTAAACAAAATATATATATATACAATTTTAACAAAATAATAATTAATAAAATATTTAAAACAAAAATTATTTAGACCATTCAAGATACGAAGAACCCTACTCTAAAAAATAAATAAATCAACACTGCGTCATCAACATCACTGCTCCCAGCCCACTCTGAACTCTCGGATCTCTCGGTCTTTAACTCTCTGTATTTGTTTTTTCTCAATTTTTCTGTCTCTTCTTCACCAAACAAATGCCCATATAAATAGACCATTTCAACCGACCCAATACAAATATCTACGGACAAAAATCAAACAAAGGACATGTAGACAGACACGCACTTTCTTATCTCTTAGCTTCATTAATTTCTATACACACAGCACACTTATCCCTGTTTCTAGAATAACATCAAGTGCAAAAGCCAAAGTCAAAGGAAACTGTGCAAAACTAATATCAAGTGGGTCCCACAGTCACCAATTCCTTACCCACTTCGGCAGAGCCACATGCCCACCTCCAGATGTATACATATATCATATAAATGTATAAAATGCAATCAAACCAAATGAATTTCTTTAGACATTCATTTAAGTGGGACCCGCACAAACTATCACCAAATCCCATTTTTCCATTTCTTTCTTTCTCGTCCCATTTCGCCTGCTGCCCATTCTTTAACAGATATATATATATATATATATGCAATGAAATAAACCAAATAAACTCTTTAATTTATGTTGACACCCATTCTGGTATTTGGATTGCTAACCCATCTTCGGCCCAGTCGCCCAGTCATGAAAACCACATACCCTTGGCATCCGTTTTGGTAATTGGGTTCTGGCCCTAATTGGATTTAATGAGCAATGAAGAATTGGGCCGAGAGAATACAATGGGCTGAAACATGTGACAATGAGGTTGGGCTAGGAGGTATGTGGATTCGCAAATAATTTGGTTTCCGGCTGAGATAATGCAATGCAGTTAAGATATTGGGCCATACACATCACATGGATATGGATTACAAGAGAGAGGTCAATGACGTGATACACACAAGGGCATCACCGATCATATGGATTATATTTGAAATACTTTTGAATTTTATGTTAGTTAAGAATTAATATTTATCTAGGAACTTTAGTTTGAATTTAAATTCAGTATCAAGTGATAGAGTTAGAGTTTTATTGTAATTAGAATACTTATTGGTAGGAATTTGATTCTAATAATTTCTATAAATAAACAAAGAGGCATGCTGAACAAAAGGTCCAGCACCCTCAGAATCCTTATTATTATTTTGTTTGTTTTCTCAAGCACTTTCCTCAAATAGCATTCTTGCTATCTTTATCTTGCTCTCTATTTCAGGCTTGTTCTATTTCTCTCCCCATATCTCTTTCTCCCTAACTCTTCTCCCTATCACTTACTATATCTATTTCTTCCCTTTTCTATTCTCTTGTTACATTATTATAAATTGTTTACGGAAGTCCTTTTAACTAAGGCATTTTTGAACCCAAAAGAGGAATTTATTTGTTCCCTTTTTCCTCGCATCGTCTGAGAGTCAACTTTCTCTAAGGGACTAAAGTTGACAATTCACAATCGAACCACCCAAGTGGTTCTGGCACGCCCGTTTCACATTAATTTAAGATCGGATCTTAGGAGCCGATTTTAGGGTCAACATTTTTGGCACGCCCGGTGGGACCCCATCAGGTGAGCAAGTTATAGTAAGAATGCCTCCAAAGCTAAGAGGTTCAAAAGGTGTGAATACAGGAGATAATACTGACGAAGAAAATCCACAGATCGGCGTAGGCGATGATGTCGATTTTTCTATTCCATCCGACGTTCCTTTGGGTCCGGTACTGGATTCGATTATACAAAAATTCGATGCCCAGCAAGCTCAGATTAGTGAGGTGAGATCTCAAGTGGGAGAATCAAATCAGCTTTTGGTTTCTCAAATTCATGAGATGAGATCGATGACAGGGGAGTTGAACCAAATGATGTACGCTAGTTGGAGAAAATGAATCAAAAACTTGAAACCAATATATCGGCTAATCAAAGCCGACATGATCAAGCCGAAGCATCTCATGTCAATGAATCCATATTTCAGCGTATGACGGCTCCATTGGTCCATATATCCCAAGGACCACGAACAAGCACCGTACTGCCAAGTACAGGACTTGGTGTTACGGTCAGCAACGTGCCGAATCATACACTTGGCATGCTAATAGGAAATCCACCAATCTTATCAAATCCGTTGGTGGTGAATCATGTGCCGGTGTTCCAGCCATTAATGAATGATCAGCCTGTGCAGCGTTCCAATAAGCAGCCGATTCCACCAGTGAGAAATCAGCAAGAAGGTGTCGGCCATCTAAACCAAGGTAGGGTCAATCCTTTGATACCTCCAGTGGCTGCTGGGGGGCAAGTGAGTGCCGATCCACAAAGGGAGTGGGTTAATCCATTCATTCCGCGGCACCCAAATGATCCTCCAGGAAGAAATGCAGGGATGGATAGGGCTCAAATTTTAGCTTTTATACAGGCCGAAGTGGCACAAGGTCGTAGACGTGCTCGGCCGGTATACAGAAAGCCCTATCCTGAGCACGTAGATGCCCATGAGTTGCCCAGAAATTATCAGTATCCTGATTTTTCTATGTACAGTGGTGAAGAAAATTTCTCTACAATACAGCATATTGCAAGGTTCACTGCACAATGTGGAGAAGCTGGTTCTAACCCTTGGTTAAAGATGAGGTTATTCTCTAGCTCTCTTGCCAGGGCAGCTTTTGAATGGTACAGCAACTTACCGGCTAATTCTATTCAGACTTGGGATGAGATGGAGGAAACGTTCCATACCCAATTCTACCGAACAGAAACAACAGCTACACTGGCAGACATATCTAGATTATCTCAGTTACCGAGTGAATCGGTTGAGACTTTTATTGCCAGGTTCAGAAAGGTTAAGCTCAAATGCAGAGTAAGTTTGTCAGAACCAGAATACATCAAGTTGGCATTAAATGGTTTAAACATTAAACATCGCAAGAGGTTTAATAGGGTTGAGTTTCAAGATCTCTTTGATTTGGCAGACAGGGCTTCTCGGTATGAGGAGATACTAAAAGAAGAGAAAGAGAGGAAAAATTCTTCTAAGGGTACTTGGTACAAAGACCCTAATTATGAGGTATTCTCGGTAGAAGTTGGAGATAAATTAGAAATTGATGTCGCAGAGGTTAATATAAAGAAGTCATACGTTTGTGAGGTGTTGGTCAAACCAAAACCGACCACGGGGGGCCATTTATCAACGTTAACATTAGCAGCAAGGAAAGGTCCTGCCGATACCGGGAAAAGTTATTCTTTCGACTTGTCGAAAATAGATCAAATTTTTGATCACTTGATGGCCGATAAAATGATATCTTTGCCTAAAGGGTATAGGATTCCATCGGCAAGTGACTTGAAGGGAAAAGAGTATTGTAAGTATCATAACTCTTGGAACCATGCTACTAATGATTGTACTGTTCTACGAGGTGTATTGCAGAAAGCTATTGATAAAGGCACTTTAAAGTTCCCGGAGAAAACTCCAGAGACCATGAAGGTGGATACTAATCCGTTTCCAACAATCACATCTATAAATGTAATAAGCTTAGCCAAGCGAGAGAATCGGCAGGAGGAAGAGAAGTTATTTGGTAAGTTCCTTTCGTCAACTTTGACACCTAAAAAGATGGCAGAATTGCAAAAGCAATTAAGGGAAGCTCAATTAGCTTTAATTGATAATGGTTGTTGCCCAAATTGAAAAGGAAAGCAACAACCAAAGGAAGAAGTGCCAATGGAGGTTCAACCAAAGAAGAAAGGAATTCATTAGAGGCTTATTTTCCCGTTGAAGCCTAGGAAGGAGCTTCGACAAGGTGATTCCAGCAACAGCCATTTGGAAGCAGGAAGGCCAACTCGGCAAGGTGATATATCTAGCCGATTTCATTCCCAAAATCGGCATCCTAGTTTTAAGAGTCACCAGTTCTGTCAGAGATTTGGGTACAGAAAGGAGCTAATTCATATAGAGTACGAACTGTGAAACCAAGGACAGACTTAACTAAAGATAAATGGACTCGAGTTAATCATCCAAAGTTCCCTAAAGCTCAAAAATCTCAAAATGTGGGTCTAACTCGATCTCAGAAGCGTAGAGAACAAAGGAGAAGGGCTGAGCAAAAAAGAAAAGCTGAAGGAGGAAGCAAAGCAGTGCAAGCCGAGATTATTGGCATTCCAGACAAAGATAACCCGGATGAAGAGCATCAGCCGACGTGGCCTAGACGTAACAATGAATTCAGAATTCAGTATGGCAGTTTCCCAGACGAGATGTCATGTAACATGGCATTTGTATTGCCAGCAATGT